CATTCAACGTACAACTGTACTTTTAAACGATATACATTTTTAATCGGCGTATCTTTTGTCTGTTTAATTTTATTTTTGAGAGAGCGAATTTTTAGAAGTTGTTTTCACAACAAACATTTATGATGGTTAAACGTTGTGTTGTGGGCGGTTGCAGTAATGCGTATAGTCATAGTGTAAGTATTTACACGTTTCCAATCGATCTGAAGGTGCAAAATCGGTGGACGAAAGCCGTGAAAATAACGAGAAAAGGTTGGGGTGGACTTCCTCCTAACAGCATCATATGCAGTGTTCACTTCACCTCAGATTCTTTTTTTTGTGTGTGTGAAAAACTGTCCTTGTCCATGACAAAACAACTAGGTTTTAACGAGAAACGCCGAAAATACAAAACGTTTTCAAAAAAATAGATTTCGAACCAGCCCATGATCACTGAGACGGATTTCAGAAGGAAGAGAGACGTCGAGTATGTGTTTCAAATGATTTGATTTTTTTGCGATCCCGATTATCGCTTTATAGAGACCACCTGTGTTATGGAAAAGGTAGCAGTAATTTTGATAATGACACGAAAACAAAGCGTCGGACAAACAGGAAATTACGCAGCCCTCAGGCTTTTTTTCATTTTCGCAGGCTAAAATTGTCTGAATTGTTCGGTTATTGGTGTTGAATGTCGAATTCACACGTTTGTTGCCTTTACTTGCAGCTTGATCGGCGTAATAATTTACGGAATAAGAATCCGGGCTTGAGCTGTCAATGTATTTTTTTAATATGTCATAATCATGAAAATAACAAGACGATTCAGCCGTCAAATTTGATTTTGTCCAATGCCGGAGTCCAGCGACAGTGTACAAACGTGCTGCTCCGGTGACGGTAACGACCACGGTGATTAGCTACACCAGACCGGACATATTTCGCATCTGACTCAACCCCATGCAACAAACTTGATACTATGTGTTCATTATGGTCCATTCTTCATCGACGAACAAGTACATAAGTGGCAATTTAGTCAAAGACGAGAAAACAGCACAAGAAATTTGCCTTATTTACACGTATCGGCAATGCAAGCTGCCCAGTGACTTCCCTTTCTGACGTCACAAGGGGAATTTCTGTATGCAAATGAGAAGCTAATGAGGAGCCTCATTTTAAAATACGCAAAAATAAAGTTTCTGTAGACTGAGTTTAAACAATTTTTTTCACTTAAAAAAAATATTTATGCTTAGAAACATAAAAAATAATAATATTTATGTATTAATGGATAATTTAAAATAGCAGCCATTTCACAGGCACTTTAAGTAGAAAATAATTAATCCTATGACAAATACCAAAAGTCAATCCAAAAGTAAATTTCCAACATGATTGGTTGAAATCTTTCTTCTTAAGACAAGCAAATATCAAATATGATCAGCATTAAAACAAAGGATATGTATTCTTGTAAGAAAAACCTGTCTACAGATAGTGTGCATCATATCTGTTAATTAAGCAATACTTCATTTTTTTTTTTCTCAGACTGTACCATTAGTAATGTTTATATGAAATGAATGTACAGTAATGGCAACAGAGAGTTGTGATTACCAATGAACAGCTTGCATAGATATCAGGTTAAAACACAGTAGAGTAGTTTAGATTTTAAAGTAAAACACCTACCTGTCTGGCCAAGACATCCAGTCCCCATAGTGTCACCTCTGACTTGAGCATTCGATATTGCATTTATCCTGTACAAAATCAAGGCAGTATGAAATACATGTGACATCCATGCAATTCAATGTAAATCCCGAAACAGTGGAACAGATAATTAATATTATGATTCAAACCTTAAACAATCTTAGCTCCATGGAAGCATACAACCAGAGGGGCTCAAGACCCAACACACACATAGCAATAACTACCCATACTACATTGTGGGAGAGATAGCACAGAATGAGTCAACTGAAGATAGATTTGTCTGATTAAACTAAATATTCAGAATTTGTAGTGATCATGGATTTTCTATATTTGTATTACAGCGGTTACAGTTCAGTCTGACCATAACTTCATGCTGGATTTGCCTTTTCATAAAAACCTATACTTTTTAAAATGAGTAATTACTTATTCTTTGTAGTAGTTACACCTATTTGACTAAAATGAGACACATTCACACAGGTTACTGTGCACAATTGAGATGTGTGACAGTTTGGACAGCAAACTAAGCTAACTAACAGCTAGCTAAATGTTAAGTTGTGCTCAGACCATATTGTCAACTGATATCAAATCACTTTTCTGTTCAAGTCAGAATGATGCAATGAGGAGTCGCACTGAGATATTTTCACACTTTTGTTCAGAGAAAAAAAAAGAAAAAAAAAAAGATGAAAATTGGGAGGTTACTTACATGAAAAATGCTATAGTGGATATCACTCCGAAGGTATGAAATGCATGATTAAAATCAGAATTGGCTGGGACAACGGCAGCAGCATCAATGACAAACCACCAACCAGTGAAAAACTATATAAGAGTAAAAAGGTAGATGCATTAACACTAGGTAGATCTTATGGGGGAAATCTGATGGTTTGAAGTTTTGTATGAATATAAGTTTGCAGCTACCCTTGGATTAAAGCTTCAGATTAAGATTCCAGCTTATGAGCTCAGCTCAGCTTTAAATGAAAAGCAAATAAATTCCACTCAAATCAAGTCACTGTACCCGGTATATTCAAGTTACGTTATTATGATGATCATGTGGTACCAGTATGCAACATGTTGGTATGTATTTTTCTATATTTTTTTTTTTTAATTTTTGACCACATTGATATAATTATAATTCCCGATTGCCTACAGATCATGATCATAAATTCTGTGGGAAAAAAATAAATTTGCAGATTTATTTTGTGAAAGATGACAAATTGACTTTGAATACTGGGGATGGGCAGAAGGACTTTTCCAAATTCTAAAAAACAATATCAAAATATGTGAAAATAGAAGCAGAACATAGCTAAATAAAATAATTTATGTGTTAACTAACCTACTTCCCATTTTTTTTTTTGAGGGCGGGGTCTTTCTATGTAGTGAATGACTACAGTTTCAAGTTCTATTGAGCAAATATATTCTGAAAACTGACGTAGATGTCTATTTTCGCATGATCTGTAGTTAAAGCATGATTATGTTCTCACAAAAACCTATGATGCTTTAGACTGATTGAAACTATAAAGAAAATATTTGACCATTTTGAGAGTCATCAGGACTTCCATAGCCTTTTTTAGATATCTTCACCAAATGAACAAATTGCCAGTCCATGTGTCTAATGTATGAATCTGGTAGGCGATTTTGGAAAAGTCAAAAATATGCAAAAATGAGCAAAAGAACCTAAACAAATATTTACTAAAATTAGACACTTTCATATGGTCTCATAAAATTATTAAGTCAGAGTCTAGTCCATGTCCATGTCAAGAACATTCACAAGAAGTTGAAGAAAAAATCATTTTTGACCAAAAATAACAAAAATATTTCCTAAAAATAGAGATTCGGATGTCATGTGATGAAATGAACAAATCTGACAGAGAACCACCCCAGGTAGCTGTGCTTGGGAGAACAAGTCGCTCGAAAAAAAAGTTGATGAACGGCAGACAGACGACCACAGGTCAAGTCAACCTATGAGCTCCGTTCGATCATCTTTGATGACAGTGCAGCTAATAAATGGACATCCTTTCACATTTAAAAAAAAAAGAATGCATTGAATGTAACACCATACAAATCCTTCTATTTTCCGACGTACAATAGACAAAACTAACAAAAAATTGTTCGTTAACGCCATAATGGTCAAATGGTTTGAAAATACATGTCTTAATTCAGTATTTTGGTCAGTAGGGTGCTACTGGCTAGAAAAGAACAATTTTGTCTGTCCATCAGCTGGTCTGAGAACAGACTTGTAATCATTTTGATAATTAATGGTAGGACTTATTAAGATTTTACATGTATTTACAGTGTAATCAGATGCCGGCAACATATATTTTTTACATTATTTTGAAATAAATAAATAAATAAAATAAAACTACAAATTGAGTAAAAAGAGCGATTTGCATTTGCCTCCGTATTACAATAAAGATTACTAAATGAATACCGATCACAACAGGGTGAGTCATACACAAGCTAACATTTTTGTTGCGAACTACAAGATCAAAACACGAACTGCATACTATTTCTTACCAGGGCACCAGCCGCAACGGACGCAATGACGTTCCGTTTCTCTGCCACCGTGTCCAAGCAATCACACCTTCGACACTCGATATTGTCTAACCAACCCGACATTTCGTTACTGCTTATCAACCACGACGGTAACAAAAATCGGCACCGAGTTTCTGACTGTCAAAATTATTCCCTTCCGGTTCGACAATTCTATTCCATTGAACACAGTTTCCAGTCGATCGAGATTTTCAGCGCACGACAAAATAATTTCACAGTAAATATAAGGAGCCAATACACGCCTCGAATAAGTCTCGTCTTTAACTAAATTTGATCTGTCGATTTATTCACGACTATGTATGTGCGTGATAGATCAACAATACAGTAAAGAAGATGGCTTCCCAAGTCAACCGGGTCAAAGTATAGGTGAAAGGTTGTTGATTTAATGAGGGCGCTGTTGACGCTCCATTCTCCAGTTGGACATTTCGTGGATACACATGTATACGTGAATACGTATCTGGGGCAGTGGCGGATCCAGCAAAATGTATTGGGGGCCAAGCTTCGCTTAAGATATACGGAGCGTAAATCGCACAGAAGCTATGCGTAATCCAGATGATATGAATCGTCATGCTTTTGGGAGGGGCCATGCCCCCCCCCTGGATCCGCCACTGATCTGGGGCAGATCCAGAGGATGGGGTCTGAACGGGTTAAATAGGACACACGTCCTGGTACTTTCGTTGGTATAAAAAGCGAAAATGAGTTTATTTTATGATATTTCGGCATAATTTCTGAGACTTATCTCCTTGTTTCAGCTGCTTGAGTAAATGTTAAGAAACAAAAAAAAAAATCATTAAAATGTTCCAATTGTGCGTGTTTGTAACGCTGTCATACCAACAAGAGCACCAAATCGGCGTATATTTTACTACTATCAGTAAATCATCAATCGATTATTGTAGTAGACTCAAAACCTGGAGTAAGTATAATCTTTTCAACTAGGGATGTTTAATTTTATTGCATGAATTATATGCTCGAAGATATTTTAAACCATGACTTAGCACAGGTCTTTCTTGTTTTACTGTGATAATGCATACTGGGTCTTGGGACGGAATTTACGAACCGGGGGTAACGTGGTATTTATTTGTAGAGTGATTTGATGGTAGCGAATTTAGAGTTGTTTCTAATATGTATTCAATAGTTGTCGGAATGAAGTAGAAAAAATACCAAACGTAAAAAAACAAAACAAGTGTTGATATGATCTACATCTCGTTCTGTTAAAATAGATGCCGTCTTATATATTTATAAAGAATGTAGTGTTGTACTGTTTTTGTTGGTCGCTAGACATAAAAAGTGCTTGATGGTTCATTCATTTTCAGCCGATGCCGGATGTATAAACATAACCATGAAGTATGAATTATTATGTAACACATACAGACTCATGTTTACGTATACCGTTTGGTAGAGGTATGCGCATAGTAAACAGACGAGAGTTAAGTCATTCTACATCCGGTGTATAATATAAAGTTACAGAGCTTTGTCTACGTACTGCGGCAGGTTGGTCCATGCAGATTTATTGACCCTGAATAACCTCTGCACTGACGTACACCGGACTAGTTAATGGTTAATTCAATATGGCGCAGCCAATGCATAGAAGAGGGATATAAACAGGTTGTCAACATTGCCGCGTCTTTGCGTTGGAAAACCTGCTACGAAATATATTTGATACATAATATTTAACGGTTTGAGCTGTTACATCGACCTACTGGGATCGATACAAGTCGAGGGAGGTCGCCTCCTTCTTTGTCCCAACTTCACGTTTACTCAATAATTTATTTATAAACACAAAGCTTTTTATACAAAATGTCGGGCTGGTTGGATAACGTGAGATGTCCTAGTTGTACGTGTGAGTGTGGATGTTTGGCTGTTGTCGCCGAGAAGAGGAACATGATATCTTCAGCAGCAGCCGGAACACTCGTAAGTACACGTTGATGTAATATGTGTAGTCAGTCATTCGTACGTAATATAGACAAACAATTCGACTGGTAGTTAGTCATAAATATAAAAACAAATATATAGCCTGCCTTCACGTATACGTCAACCTCGGGTAAACAGCCACGAAAGAAAACAGTTTGACAAATTCGGGAGTACTATCTAAAAAACAACAACAACATTTGTTTTTTGAGACAAAGTTAAAACTTCGTTCAGAAATTTGGGTTCTAATAATGTCAATTATCCCGACAAAGTCGCGTGAATGGCGCCATTCAACGACGGCCCGAAATTTTATGACAATTTTATGATTATTGTGCAATTAATGGAATGGTATTTTGATTCCAGTTTTTCGTCGGTTGGTGGTTGTATATTGATGCAATGGTGGCCTGTGACTCCGACGATTATCATTTAGCGTTTATGACATGCGGCATCGTGGGATCATTAGCGTTTGCTATGTAAGTATTAAGAAGAGAAGACAAAACCATCGCAAGAACTCGTAATGTATCAAAAAAGAAAAACACGTCGATACTCTACAATAGATTGTGTGGTCTGTAAGTTTATTATTATTATTATTTTTCGAGACCACTCACGACACTTCCAGGATAACCATAGAAGCCACATTCGATCGGATCAGTTTGTAGTTGCACATTCACACATGAACAACAAGTTCAGGTCCATCGTTCTTGACTGTGCGCACGTGTCAAGAAAGAAGATTTTCACAGCGATAAAAAAACAAATGTAAAATGATATAGTATTATATAGAAAATTAAAATGACATATTAGAACAAATTTGGATAAGATACTATGGCAACTAATATGGCCTTTATTATTTACTCACATAATATAATTTACCGGCGCCATCAATTCCAAAATACTAAGCAAATAACACCGAATAAACGGCAACGTAAAGACTATGTTATTAAGCATCCTTTTTTTGGGGATGCCCGGTGGCCGAGGGGAAGACGTGTAGTGGCGTGAAGCTAGGCGATTAGGTGCCGTACGCGAGCGCCAGTTCGAGTCACGCACGCAGTACGTGTTTACTATAATTAGACATAGTCTTTACGTTGCCGTTTATTCGGTGTTATTTGCTTACTTTACTTCCTATGTCGACAGCAACTATGAGTTTAGAATTATTTCTCAGTATTTATCCAAAATACTAGTAGTAGAACGTAGAAACGCAGTGATAAACTAATTAAGAACAAATGTATATCTGCTGTTTACTTGTTGTAACAAAGGTGTTAATAGATGGAAGAATTGAAACTTAGAAAATCGGAGATACTGTAAAAATTATACATTTAGACACATATGATACATATGTGCTGAAGTCGCGCCCTCAAGCGGCGAAGCGCTTATGTGGCGTCACAATGATTAAGGCGTGCAAAAGCAATTTCGTTAAAACTGTTTGGTTTTGTGATCGTCCGCCATTTAGAACAACCTTTCAACGGCGTTATATTACAGCCACAAGGCTGCAGATCATAACAAAAACAACTGTCGTTGATCAAAACAATAAACGACACTGACGTCTTCATTGATGTCACAGAAACGCTTCACCGATAGAGGGCGCAAGTCACAGGGCAGATATATGCATTTTTTCTGATTTTTCAGGATAACAGCAGTTTCCAATGCCCAGATTCGAGGGGAAGCATCCACCGATGGATTTTTCGGACAAACGGGTAAGGTATCTGAGGAGTTCCGATAAATTATTAAAGCGTTACTCATAGCGACGCACACATCGCGCGAAAAATACTAGTACATGACTTACATGAAGTTCGAACTTGCGCTGCGCTACGACGGTAGTGCTTTAAGCGGAAATATAGCTACGAGTGAATATATTTTTCCCTATAATGTACAAAAGTTACATCTTTACATATTTTAACATTAGATGTGTTTTTGTAAAGTTAATATGTACATGTATGAACGCATAAGGCGTTCTAGTAATTTCTCTTTCAAATTGAACAAGTACCACTTTCTTTACATATTCGCTGTATCTTACAACACTTCAATGACCAACATTTGTAAACGAACAACTTCACAATTGAGAAACTTCAGTAATTGTTAAAAATATTAGTTTGGTGTCAACACCGTCATAATTATTTGAAAATCTGCCGTTAGAAAAAAAAAAGGTGACACTATTAAAGAAATATCTTGTTCTTTTCAACCTTATAGCTGCCCGTATATGGTTATTGGTTGGGTTTTTCTTGGCGTTCGCATCACTGATTGGAGCATGTTACATTCTCTTTGGACCCTACGTGACTGACAGTAAGTGTTTCCGTGTCACTTCGGGTCATTATCTCATTAACATACATTCAGCATTTGAACTGAATTTGCTCGCTCTAGGCGGGAATCAGCCTTGAGTTAGTCCCTCCCCTATGAATATTATGCACGTTTGTTTATTTATTTATTATTGTTATTATAAGGCATTTAAGTACCGTAACGATAACATTTTACATATTTTGTTATACTAATCACCCATTATTATGTTGCAAATGTCACGATTATAACAATGTATCGTATTTGAACGGACGTACATGACAAAATGGAAATTATATATATATATATATATTAAAAACTCAATATGCAAAACAAGTATTACAAATACGCATAAATTAGAACAGCGAGTTGTATTTAATCTGGCAGAGTATTCATTGCAAGCTGGATTTCCTCTGTTCTGGAACGGTAGTTATGCACTAAGAAATAAACACGTCTAAGTACACAGTAAAATAAATCAACTTATTTTAATTTTATCCTTATTTTTCAGAGAACTATGATAATATATGGCCTGGTATTGCAGTATTTTTACAAAATTTTTTCATACTTTCTGCGTAAGTTTGCATTACACATTTGCACTTCAACAGTTGTTTTCGCCGACTTTATTCCGTAAATCTTTGAATGAAATATTTGACAAAGACAACTATATTAGCAATCATAATTATTGTCGAGCTTTAATCAATACGATTTGTTTTTGTTCTTAATTTTCAGTTCACTGGTCTTCAAATTTGGAAGAACAGAGGAAAATTGGGATTGATACAAACCTTAGCTATGTATCAATAACAAATAAATACGGAATACAGAAATATGCAGATCATCAAAATCAGTAGCTGACACAATGTGACTGTGCACGTTGATTACGTCATTCCATCATAACTAAAACGTTAACACGTGGATGCAATCAAGAGAATCCAAAAGCGGTACGGCTGCAGACCCGTAGCTTTGCTCCAGAAATGCGATCACTTTGTTTTAAGGTCGTTTGCGGAATTCAACTTAATTGAAGCTGCAATATTCTGACGAAAATATTTTTTTTTAATGTTGTTGTTTGATACTCAATACGGAATATGATTTATCAAAAAACTAAAAAAGATGTGTTTGCAGAACACATCAAAGTATTTTTTGGATGAAAAATCAAAACCACTAATACGGATGTGCAGTGATTGTCATTGTACGTACCAAAAAAATAGTGCACATGCGTGTTAGAGAATTTAATTGTTTCATCGAACGAATACTCAGATGTATGCTACAAGTGTTTCCAGATAAATCATGACGTGTATACATTTATCAATATACAGTATCAAACAACAATACTAATCAAAGAAAACTTAGAAAGAACTCCTGTGTGCTGAAATACAATTAAAGTATACTGTATTTACTACACGTCTCCAATACACATAAGGCAAAAATTGCACTTATTGCACGCAGAATCATTGAAATATGTCCCTTTTTGACCATAGCTCTGGTTTTGTCATTTACATTTAACCACTTTGATTTTAATAGAGCAAATGTGACATTTAAAAATATAACCGAAAGCAGTGATCAGGGTGGTTTCAAGTGGCTAAGGTAATAACAATTATAAATATTTAATAAATTCATGATCATATATAATGACTTGATATTTTGGTCATATATCTTGCGAACAACAGTACTTAAAATATTACAGTTATGCATATTATTGAGGTCACATGACCATTGTCATTTTTATTAGTCATATTTTTGTCCAATGTCTTTATCATAGAACTGATCATTCTTATCTGCAGCAGTGGTTAATATATTAGTTATGCATATTAATTAGTCACATGACCATATAATATATGGGCATCTGATTCGTTACATTATTCTTGCCCGATGCATTTATCATAGCACTGGTTGCATGTCCTTATCTGCAGCAGTGCTTAATATATTACATTTATGCATATTAATTAGTCACATCTCTTGTTTGATGCCTTTAATAGTGTACCAAATGCATATCCTTGACTAAAACAGTGCCGAGGTATTATGCATGATAATTAGGTCATATACATGGACGTATACATTAGTCATCTCTTGTGCAATGCCTTCATTATACCACAAGTTGCATGTCCTTATCTGCAATAGTGCTTGAGATATTAATTATGCATATTAATGAAGTCACATGACCCATTTACACAAAAGTAGGTACTTATTATGGATTTCAACCTTGAAGTAATCAAATCAAAGCACTTATCTACTAAAAATGTATATGGCTTATTGCAGGACATCTATGTTTTAGTGGAATCTGATATACTAATAGAAAAATTGGCTAATTTATTATTATTCAAATTAGCTAATTAATATTCACAGATTCATACCAAAAAACTATTCAGGTCTGTGCATTGAAATTCATTTAGTAGTTCTTGACAGTGGTGAATTAATTCACGAATAATTTGAAGAAACCATCAAAACCTATCTTATAACCTTGTATTATATTTTACTATATGTACCAAATGAAAAATAGTTCAGTGACTATACATTTTTTTCTGGATTTTGTGAGTAATAGCATAAAATAAAACTGTATGGTAAAGGTCAATGAAAACAGACATTTTAATGGCAGCAAAGTACCTCAACCTTCTCGCCACCAAGTTTCCTCTTCTTCATAAATTCACAAAATAGTCATGTTTATAGTCTGCACTCGCCTTCAGAATATTGGGACAAAAATAGAATTTTTATTTTGGAGTAAAAACTGAAAATTCATTCAAATTTTGTCTGTTGGCTACAGAATCTTAATATAGCCGAAGTGTCAATAAATTCATTGTTAAAATATACTTACTTTCATATTAGCTACATCCTGCATTAGCGAAGTTACTGGTAATTAAATAACATGCCAGCTAAAAGACACGATTTACAGCAAGATATTCAAACATAAATAGGAATTAAATTTGATTTTGTGATTCGACGCTACAACCTTGTTTCGGCAGAGTGACAGACTAGATACAGTGATGCAATATTTCAGGATTCGTTGTCAAGCTAATTTGCATACAATACAAAATGGCAAAGTAATTTAACTTGTATACCGTAGTCAGGTTTAATGTTTACGAGATGCAGACCATAACTGTGGGTTTTTTTACCTGCTGCTGCTGCTGGTGATGGTGCGATAGTGTTGGAGTGCATACCAGTACATTGGAAAATACATTTATCAGTATACTGCATTTGTCATTCTAATTTAATACTCTCAGTGCTATTTTCCTAACTCAGAGTAAACTACACTGAATCGGAAATTACTTGAACATACAGAAAAATATACTTTACAGAAGCAAGCATAACTGTGTAAAATTTATTTTTATTATTTCTTTTTTTTGCATTTCTATATATTGTAAAACAATTGAAATAAAAATTACACCATCAAATTTTATTTAGTGATAAAATTATAGTGAGCTGTAGAATGATACATAATCCTTCACAGTGCTGAAATGCTCATATATGGGCATGGGGTGTCAAAAAATGTGACAGTAACAAGGGAGGTTACTCTGTGATTATATAAACAGAATGCACACATTTGCATAATTAATTGAAGAAGATGGTATAGATGTTATCAATAGAAAATAAAAAACTTTGGAATACCTCTACTTTCATCCAAAATGATAATAATAAATAATGAATCAACAGTTATGAATTGATAAATTACTGAGAATTGTTTTTATGGAAATTGATGTAATCTACATTTCAGCTCATTGAATAATCTGTATCTGTACTATACCTAAGTTACTGTCACGCATGAGGGAAAAACATGTGCACAAATTGTACACAATTTCTATATATTCAACTTGGGGAATATAATGCCCTGAGAGCAATATATTAAGGTGAATATATATGGTTATACTGCCCTGAGAGCAATATATTAGGGTGATACATCAGGTTATACTGCCCCGAGAGCAATATATTAAGGTGATATATCAGGTTATACTGCCCTGAGAGCAATATATTAGGGTGATATATCAAGTTATACTGCCCTGAGAGCAATATATTAGGGTGATATATCAGGTTATACTGCCCTGAATGCAATATATGAGGGTGATATATCAGGTTATACTGCCCTGAGAGCAATATATTAGGGTGATATATCAGGTTATACTGCCCTGAGAGCAATATATTAGGGTGATATATATGGTTATAATGCCCTGCTGCGTAATACATTAGAGATATAATATACTGCCCTAGAAAGTAATATACTCAATATATTCTGATATTGGACAATATTGTGAAGCAGACACAGACAAATTTACTTCTCAGGTAGATCTCTGAAATATTGAATTTTAATTGTCAAGCAACAGTCGTTGTAACAAGTTATAAATTGATTGACAGACACAGTGCAATATTGAGGCAGGAAGAGCCCATGATCACAACCCTTGATTACAAATGTTGCCACTCTTAAGTGACCACCCCTAGCATTCCCAATTTTTTGGAAGGAACCAGAGAATCAACATATACAAGAGATTATTTTATTGTAAAAATAGGGGTGGTTTAGTCGTGATTATCTTGCGAATTGACGTTTTCCTTTTGGTTTGTTATCAACATGTCGGTAAATCTTGCTTTTAAAGGCAGCTTTCCTATTGTGAATAGCAGCGCCTGGTGGGGGCGCTCCTCTCCTTGACTTCTGCACCTTTTTACTAGCATGTATGCCTGAAATTAGGAATTAAGGAAATTAATAAATTATGTTCCAAGACCTACAGCAGACAAAATATGACAGACTTGGATAAACTCCAGAAAGAGAGATAATAATAAAATCAGTCTGTTGTTAAAATGTATATTGTCAAATTATATATTTTCTGAAAGCTTGGATGTGCGAGAAAATAAATTGAACTATTTTCACTGCTTGCTTTAATTGATTATGTGATGGAGAATTTTGTCACCGAGGTTTGACAAAAGTTTCTTTTAATATGTCTGTTTGAATCATCTCTATTTGTGACCGACTGACAACATTGTTCAAAAGTAGTTTCATTTTTCTATAACTTTTCTGAATTTAGTTATTAAAAGAAATAATTCTTTGAAGCTCATTTTGTTTCAGCTCATAGTTTCAGAAAGATCTTGGTTGATTTATTTTGTAATTGACAACCAGTACACACCAGGAACCAAAGTAATCATGTGATCTCTAAACATTAAAACTGTGAGATAAAGAAATAATCTTTGATCCTATATAACATGTTATCCTCAGATAATTTTAATCAGTTCAGTTCATTTCAAAGCCATTGAATTAAAACTATTAATCCGAGTGTGGATTAGATGTAATGTATGTTTCCAGTTATAGTCACAAATTTGAAGAAAATCAGATAACCAGTTCTCTAGATCAATTCATTTATAAATCATATTTCAGGTATAGAATAATTTGCATATATATATATATATATATATATATATATATATATATATATATATATATATATATATATATATATATATATATATATATGTATGTAGAAGAGTATGGAAGAAATCAATATACACTAAGAGTTTGAAAACGGTGCACTTCAGGTCAAAGGGCAGCACCTTTTTGTTGATGTTTCACAAATTATGCAAAGCAAAACAGCTCAATCATGACAAAACATTATCAGAATAATGTTCAGTGATAAGGCATTCGTTTTCTGGCAATGAACTGAAAATAGTTAAACTTTGAATAGTGTTTCGAGTCATTTTTATCAACGTCGGCACACGAATCATGTCTGGACTCATCTTGAATCCTGCTCAACTTGCATGTGAACTAATAACACAAATTCCGCAGTTCACATGCTTCATTCTTTTATGGTTACGAAGTTTCTATTTGTAGTAAACTGATAAACTAATCAGCTGTGCTCCCTCGCCAGGCATTGACCATTACATATTATTTTGATGGCATATCTACCATCACACATTGGCTGGTAAATGAAAAAAAATGCACGTAAACAAATCTGAAAAGGATACTGAAATCAACACTTGGCGGTACTTTAAATCCAAATGACTGGGCGGCTTTCTGTAAATCCAGGGTATTTACATCAAATATATGTTTCAGACTGTGTGAATCGTAAGCACGGACATACGACTTATAGGCTTCCTGTGACGACTTGTGAAGGAAATAGTTCTTCTCAATCAATCTCTCAAGCTGCCATAAAAATATAGAAGATGTTAATTATAGACTTGCAATATGCAAATGTAGTCTGTAGTCGATATTGGGACAATACTAACTATCAGAATGTCATTGTGAAAATTTATAACAATCATACGTAATATATTTAAATCAAATATTTTCACTCCATATAAAGTGTATAATTTAATTTCACTTGCAACTTATTTTCGCTGAAGAAATTATTCAGTTAAAATAAAATCCAGCGAATATACCTTTTTTCCTATATTTTACATTCAACTCGTCAAAAGTCAGTGAAAATAAATCCCATACAAAACACTCAAAAAGTTTTTTCAGTGAAAATTAATTCCAGCTAAAATAAAATATTTTACAGTAAGTGTTTCTATGGAGAGATGTTGTGAATGCATATTTCAATAGAAGGTGTTTTGTATAGAATATATATTAACTGATTTTTGGCGAGTTGAATGTAAAATATAGGAAAAAGGGTATATTCGCTGGATTTTATTTTACTGAATCATTCCTTCAGCGAAAATAAAGTATTTTACAGTATTTAAACAATTTGAATTAAATGCAATTTACAGTCATGAACACAATAGGACTTTACTGAATGATGTCTGAAAAGTCCCTAAAGATTTTGGACGACTGTTGTGTTCTTAGGGCTGGTCAGTAAATCAAGGCAGCTTTTGTCATGAATACAAGTTTTTGTTTACAATCTTGTACTAGTAGGTCTAATAATCAATTTGTTTCCAAATACAGAAACTTGAGTGCTGAATCTTTTTACGGATGACATTTTCAGTTCAACTGCAGTATTACATTATTTTACATTGAAATTAATTTTCGCTATTTTCGCTGAAGGAATGATTCAGTGAAAATAAAATCCGACGAATATTTTTCCCTATATATTTTAAATTGAACTTTTCAAAAATCAGTGAAAATAAATTCCAAACAAATCACCCAATAAGTTTTTTCAGCGAAAAATTTATTCCAGCTAAAATAAAGTATTTTACAGTATGGGGTTTTATAATTATCAATACTACTCAGATACAATACAAAGTGATGAAATGAAATGAAAGTCAGAAACACCGACCTTCATACTTACCTGTGACTGTATATTAGCAATTTTGTTCCATGAAAATTCAAATTCACTGAGTGGAACCTTCGCATTTTTAAGATACCTCAAGAAACCAAGCTCTTCAGGACGTAATATGAGTAAAGCGTGTCCCCTCCCATCGATACCTCTAGCTGTGCGGCCAACCCTGTGAATGTATTCCTGTAAACAAAAAAATAAAAAGTTATAATTCCACAAAAATAATACTTGTGCCTGAACTATCCAATCAGAACAAGTAACACAAACTAGCTTTGGGTCATCCGGAGGATCATACTGTACTATCCAATCAGAACACACACCTACATTTGAACCTTCCAGTGGGTTTTACTATTCTATCCAATCAGAACACACAACACAAACCTACCTTCGGGTCATCTGGAGGATCATACTGTACTATCCAATCAGAACACACAATACAACCCTACATTCAAATCATCAAGTGGGCATACTATTCTATCCAATCAGAACACACAATACAAACCTACATTTGAATCATCCAGTGGATTATACTATTCTATCCAATCAGAACACACAATACAAACCTACCTTTCGGGCCATCCAGAGAATCATACTGTACTATCCAATCAGAACACACACCTACATTTGAATCCTCCAGTGGGTTATACTGTACTATCCAATCAGAACACACAATACAAACTTACCTTTCGGGCCATCCAGAGAATCATACTGTACTATCCAATCAAAAAAACACCTACATTTGAATCCTCCAGTGGGTTTTACTATCTATCCAATCAGAACACACAAAACAAACCTGCCTTTGGGTCATCCAGAAGATCCTACTGTACTATCCAATCAGAACACACAATACAACCCTACATTCAAATCATCAAGTGGGTTATACTGTACTATCCAATCAGAACACACACCTACGTTTGAATCATCCAGTGGGTTATATTGTACTATCCAATCAAAACACACAACACAAACCTACCTTTGGGTCATCCGGAGGATCATACTGTACTATCCAATCAGAACACACAATACAACCCTACATTCAAATCATCAAGTGGGTTATATTGTACTATCCAATCAGAACACACACCTACATTTGAATCATCCAGTGGGTTATATTGTACTATCCAATCAGAACACACACCTACGTTTGAATCATCCAGTAGGTTATATTGTACTATCCAATAAAACACACAACACAAACCTACCTTTGGGTCATCCGGAGGATCATACTGTACTATCCAATCAACTGCTGGTATATCTAAACCTCTAGCAGCAACATCAGTACACAGCAGAATTCCTTCTGATGCATTACAAAACTGGAAAAACGTCTGCGTTCTCTTGGTTTGTTTTTGTCGACCCTAGGTACAAGAAAATGTAATTATCAGTTTTAAATACTAAACAATGGTAAAAGCAACATTTTACAGAAAAAATGGAGTTTGCATTATGGTACATAAGGTTATTTGATAGTTTTTTCCCATACAAGTACCCGGTAGTAGTGAAATAATGAAAAACCCTTAATATGCAAATTATCTAATTACTATGCACATATTTATAAATGCATGTTAAAATATGTCTGAAATGATATAACTACAAAATAGTTGATATGCAAGATATCTAATTACTTTACACAAATTTATACATGAATATTAAAATATGTCTAATGATATAAGCAGTACGGTACTAGTACCAGTCTGATGAAATATAATAAATATGCAAAATATCTAATTAGTATGCACATATTTATAGATTCATGTTTAAATATACCCTTAGTGATAGTTTTCATCATTAACACATCATGGTGAATTTAATAATTCATTTTTCATGCACCATGAAACACATTCTATCATTTAAGGTGGAAGCCTAGTCATAATTTTTGACAAAATTGGTCATAAATCGCATGACAATGTTCATTATTTTATTATGTACAATCATGAAGCTAATGTCTCATGGTACAATGAAATAGCGTTGTTTTGTGTGTTACAGTTGTGCTTTTTGAGAAATGTGTCCTATTATTTCTTGAATTCCATAGAACACAATGTTAAAGAAAAATTGCATTTTTGACACTTTTTAAAACCCCGATTTTTTAAATAATTCAGAACAAAAAGTACCCCATCATTAACAATATATGATTTTTTCAGCCTATGTCACCAGGCTAGATTTTGAGATATTGCATAATATCTCTGCCATAGGAACCTGTGGTAAAGCATTAAAATAGTGTCAAAATGGCGACTTTCCACTAAAATACAACCATTAATTTCTCCAAAATAAGGCTGGTGACCCCCAACTTTTTTTAGGTCAATATTCTTATATTGCCGTGGAGTACAATTTATTGCAAAATGAATAATTCTGAGTTTTTTAATTTATGAGTAGGCTTCTACCTTAAACACCTTTTGAAGTTGGAATAATGAAAATGTTAATAAATAAATCATGATACATTGAATGGCACAGAGATTTGCCAACACAGACGGCAATCAAATCCATAGATTACAGACATGCCTCAGTTGAGAATGACATTTGATGTCATTTTTTCTTTCACTACCATCCCTGTATGAATATGATTGGTCCCGAATGAATCTGAGCATTTGTTACAAAGTAACTTTGAATACTTTCTATGACTTGCTGTAAGAATACCACCACAAACTCTGCTACAAAAAGAATCTGTACTTACATGGATGGACATGACCGGCAGGTCAATATAGTTGAGAAGTTCACAGTGATACTTCACAGACATACACGAGGAAAAAAACACCATCACTTTCTTTCGACGGTTCTTCTTCAAAAATGTGAAAAGCAGAAGAAATCGTTTTTCTGACGTACACACCACATAGCCCTGTCAGCAAAGAGATAATAATAGATAAGTAGATGCAATGGTGGTTTCTTTGAAACTGATTTGTATTCCTATTCAATTTCCTCTTTTAGAATGACATCTTCAATTTTCTAATTTTGATGAATATTTTTGTAATTTTTGATAAAAAGTGATATTTTCGACTTCTTGTTGAAAACCACAAGTCCGATTGCTTTGAATCAATAGATATAGGTGCCTCAGGTAGACTTCTCTCAGATTTGTTCATATCATGATGATATCTTCAATTCACTAATTTTGATGAATATTTTTGTCTTTTTTGGTAAAAAGTGATATTTTCAACTTCTTGTTTAAAACTGCAAGTCCGATTGCTTTGATACTATACATATAGGTACCCCAGGTAGGCCTCTCTCAGATTTCTTCATTTCATGATGATATCTTTAATTCTTTAATTGAAATGTACATTGCTAACAGCGGAGTTATCTCAGCCAAGAGGCTACTTGTTAAATAAATAAGTTGAAGTGAAAAACAATTAAAGCAATAAAATGGTGGCCAATCTTCTTACTTGTTCTAATCCTTCCACTGTGGCTTTTTCTTTAGTATCATCCACACCAACATACACAGGCTGTGTTTTTAGCGAAAGTCTCGCCAAATTTTCTATTTTTTTTGTCTGGGTCGCTGAAAACAGCATTGTCTGCCGTCTTTCTGGAAATAAGATAAAAAAAAGAACTGTTTAATTATAATAATAAACAAGTCATTGTCAATGACACGTCCCCGTTCCGTTCATATTTGAGTGACATATACAGGGTTCTCCCCAGAAAAAATGCATAGCACCGGGGCTAATTTGCATAATAATTTGCATATCATTTACATATCTTTCCTTCATTGATTAACAGAACTTATTTACAATTATGAATATTAGTGAGCTCAGTCACAGGGCAAATATTTTTTTTAATGGAATCAACACATTATGTTTCACAATTTAGAAGAGTTTGAAACATTCTCGAAATACAAATGCTGCAGACTAAAAACAAACACAAATACATTATTGTTGCAATTTAATTGTTTTGTAAAACGTTGAAGGAAACGCATTCAAAACGTTAAGCCAGATTTATGTTCACGAATCTCTTAATTTTATTCACTCCAAAAACATTCTCCTTCAAAAAATCGATCACGTAATTAATTGACGTATTGTTGTAATTTATTATTCGTACCATCAACTTCTAAAACGTTTACAATTACAGTAATGAGCGAACAAATAAAGCTTCAAAACGATCATCAAAGTTACGACGTGACATAACTTACTTGGCCATGTTATACACCAGTTATAGCAATAATTCCTCAACAAAATTTTACTTCTTTTTTTTTGATATGAAATGTAAGTAAAATCCGACTTATTTTTATCGGGAGCATTATTTAGTCCCCGTTCGGACGAAGTCCGAAAACGGGGACTTATAATTCGGTCTCCGTCCGTCCGTGTGTCCGTGCGTCCGTCCGGAGTCATATCTCAGAATCCCTTGGACCGATTCCGTTCATTCTTTGCATGTGCCTAGTACTTTATATGGGACATATGCACATGCAGTGGTTTAGCGATTCGATTCAAAATGGCCGACTGGCAGCCATGGATTATACATGTCTTGTTTTTTGAAAATGTTGTATTTTGGACATGCTTTGTCAGTTTTCATTCAAACCTGGTACATAGATTATACATTTTAGGATACATGTCCATGATGATTTATTTTACAATTGGATCAAAGATGGCCGACTGGCAGCCATCTTGTTTTTTGAAAATGTCGTATTTTGGACATGCTTTGTCAGTTTTCATTCAAATTT